CACACACACACACACACACACACACACACACACACACACACACACACACACACACACACACACACACACACACACACACACACACACACACAGAGAAACAAGTTAACTCGCAGCTCTAAGATTACCTTGTTTAGGATGAAGGTCCATTTATATCCCGTGACCTCCAATTATCTATGTGACACAGTAAAGGAATAATGGAAATGGAAGGAACAGGAAGACTAAAAGCAAAATGGAAACTGATGAAAACTGACATATAAAGCTTGAACCATCTGCCTACTTCCCTCTCTTCCTTGCTAAAAGCTATTGTCGATGCCCTATTGAGACCAAAGGTGCTAAAACCGGAGTTTAATTTCTGTGCTGACATTTGGATCGCTTCACATCATGTGCCTCAGAAGCCGTTCTATAATAAATCCAAACCAACATCATCCATCATATCTGACAATCACCACACTCTGATATCTCTGTGAAGACGGGGATGAAAACCAGATAGCACGGACAGCTTGCCAATCCTGACACCCACACAGTGTTGCCGTTCCTCCTCTTCTCTCCCACCTGCCTGCTCTGTCTGCTTCACCTCACACATTTCTTACATATTTCCTGTTAGCTGTCTGCTTATGGAAGACAGCCATATTTCTATACAAGACTCTGGCTGGTAAACTATATAATATCTAGCATGCAGCAGAAAGTATTTCTCATTTCTGTCATACAGTTACTAATGAAAAAAGACAGAAGGAAGGGGGGCAGTTAATGTTGTTGTGGTTTTATAATCAATCAATGCGTAATGTGGCCCAATATAAACATGTTGCATAATAACAGTTAGTAGGAGATGCTCCGATTATTAACTCATAATTGGTAGCAGCGCCTAAGCTTAATATTAGGATCTTGTTCACAAATGTAGCACCTACAGGAGTCAGTACCCCCTTTCTTCTGTGTGAACACTATGGATTTGAGGACCATCACAGTACTAAGAGCTGTTTTGTTTGTGTGTTTTTAGCTCATAGTACCATTCCTAGTGTAACAGGAAGTTTGAGTGTTGTAGATGTAAAATGGTTGCTCCAGATGTGCGTCTAAACATCAGCAGCTCTTAATGTTAATATTGAAAAAAATCAGAATTAAACCTAAATGAAATGAACAAGCTGAAAAGTTTAGGCTTTTTTGACCCTATTAAATATTAAAATATTTACCAGCAATACACTTGAACTTGCTACAAGGAGAAGCAATAAAGAGCGACACTGAAGAAGCTGAAACAGGATTAAAAACAGGGATAAATGAAAAAAAGGGATCAAAACAAGAGGCGATGTTGGAAACCTAGCTGCTGGCCAGCTTTTGTGTTACTTCAGAGTTTCTATTTGTGGGGCAAATGCAAGCAAAAATTAAAAATAAATAAGGATTCGAATAGCTCCCAGGGGACCTACTCAGAGGGTACTTATCCTCAGACAGTCCCCAGAAGAGTTTGGTCTGAGGTGGCTAATTAGACTAAATTACTGCGCTGCTTCAGTTTGTTTCATCCAAACTACTGAATGGATTAAAGGGATGAATCCCAGGATAATTGTTCTTTTTTTTTAGTGATAAAGTCAGCCGTCTTATCTGTGAT